ATAACCAGAGCCTATGTGTTGGGTTTCATGGAGCCTCCCTGACCTGGGGGGGAGGGAAATAACCCAATTCTGGGCCCCTCTATACATTTTGTCTGGCTGAACTAGGGGAAATACTCAAGAGGCATTCATGAAATTCACATCCCAGTGGCATAAACTCACTAAAACAGCTAATCATAAGACTACAATGCTGCTTCTCCCTGACCCCTCACCCCCACACCACTAAGGGCCTACTTACCCATGAGCCTTCTAGCTGGTACATCAAGTTCAGCTTTCAAAACATTGCAAGGCATACTAAGAGCCAAAAAAACACAGACTGAAGACACAGAGCTAGCATCAGAACCAGGCCCAGACACGGCAGGGGCATTGGAATTATCAGGCCGGGAATTAAAACAACTATTATTAATACGTGAAGGGCTCTGATGAAAAAAATGTAACATGCAAGAATAGATGGGTTATCTAAGCAAAGTGATGGAAATTCTAAGAAAGAACCAAAAGGAAATACTAGAGATCAAAAACACTGTAACAGATATGAAGAATGCCTTTGATGAGCTCATTAGCAGACCGAACACAGCTGAGGAAAGAATCTCTGAGCTTCAGAATATGTTAATAGAAGCCTCCAAAACTGAAAAGCAAAGACAAATAGTGTCAGGAGTTAGTTGGACAGTTGGGTAGTCAGGGTCAGAGTCCCCAACAAGAAAATATAGAGTCAGGACAGCTAAGATAGAACAGCACTAACATCCTGTGTGCAGCTTCGACAGGACCACACTGGCATTCTGTTTTGCAGCCTTTGCAGAAATGACTTCTACAAAACGTCCTAAAATAAAACAATTAGCCACAGAGCATTTGTCACTATCACGAGCAAGGGGCAGTTAAGACAAAAGCCCCCAGATGTCAGCCCAAAAAGACTATCAGCACGTAGACATGAACCTAATAGGTAGAAAAATATGTGATCAAAGCCCTGATTGGCATGACTCAGCATGCCCTGGTTGCTTAAGATCATTCTGCAAAAGAGCTCATAAAAAACCCTAAACTTAGAAACTCCCCACAGCAACCCTCCCGGGTCCCCTCCCTCTTCAAGAGCTTTGTACTCGTGCTCAATAAACTTTGCCTTGCTGCCCACCACTCTTCGTCTGGTCTACCTCTTCATTCTTCAAAGCGGCATGACCAAGAACTGCAGGTGCTAAAGGAATAGAAATCCTGTAACAAAAGGACCGACAAAATAAATAAATAAAACAGAATATCCAGGGACTGTGGGACAACTGCAGAAGGTGTAACAGATGTGTAATGAGAACGCCAGAAGGGGAAGAAAGAGAGAAACAAAAAATATTTGAAGCAATAATGACTGGGAATTTCCCCAAATTCATGTCACACACCAAATTCCAGGTCCAGGAAGCTCATAGAACACCAAGCAGGATACAGGACCACAAAACAAACAAGCAACAAAACACACCTAGGCATATCATATCCAAACGGCAGGAAATCAAAGGTCAGGAAAAGATCCTGAAAGAAGCCAGAGGAAAAAAACACCTAACTTATAAGAAGCCAATATAAGAATTACATCTAACTTCTCCTCAGAAAAATAAACAAAAGAGAGCAGACTGGAATATTTAAAGAGTTGAGAGAAGGAAAAAAAAAAAAAAACACCAGCCTAGAAATCTATACCCCGTGAAATTATCTTTCAAAAGTGGAGGGGCACGTGGGTGGCTCAGTCGGTTAAGCATCTGCCTTTGGCTCAGGTCATGATACCAGGATCCTGGGATGGAGCCCCACATTGGGCTGCCTGCTCAGCGGAGAGTCTGCTTCTCCTTCTGCCCCTCCCCCGATGTGTGCTTTCTCTCTCGCTCTCTCTCAAATAAATAAATAAAATCTTTAAAAAAAAAAAAGTAAAGGAGAAATAATGACTTTTTCTGACAAAAATTAAGGGAATTTTTTGCCAGTGGAACTGCCTTGCAAGAAATGTTAAAAGAAGTTGTTCAGAGAGAAGGAAGATAATACAGGTCAGAAACTCAGATCTACATAAAGAAAGAGCATCAGAGAAGGAAAAAGTGAAGGTAAATAAAAACTTTTATTTTTCGTATTCTTAAATGATGTAACAGGTAACACTTTGTTCAAAATAAAATGGAAACAATGTATTTAATTCTGTGTGTGTGTATATGTGTGTGTGTGTGTGTGTGTGTATATATATATATATATATATATATACACATACTTACCTATGCTTATGGATAATGATAGCAATGATACAAGGAACAGAAGGAAGGAATCAAGAATTAGGATTATTTTGTTATTATTTAAGGTAGTTGTACTACCCATGAAGCAGTACAGTGTTATTTCAAGGTAGACTCAGATTAGTTGTAAATATATATTGCAAACTCTAGGGCAACCACTAAAAAAAGTAATTGATAATGCTAAGAAAGGAAAGAAAATAGAATCATATAAAACATTCAATTAAAACCACAAAAGGCAGAAAAAGTGGACAACAACATAGGAAGATAGGAACAAGGACCAAGAGCAAAAAAACAGAAAACAGTAACAAATATGGCAGATATTAATCCAACTATATCAATAATCATTTTAAACATCAATAGTCTATATATGCCAGTTAAGACAGAGATTGTCAAAATGGATCAAAAAATAAGATCCAATTGTATGCTGTCTATAAGAATCCTACTTTAAATATAAAGGCACAGATAGATTAAAATAAAAGAATGAAGAAAGATATACCATGCTAACACTCAAAAGAAAGCAGAAGTAGCTATATTAATTTCTGACAGACCAGACCTTAGGGCAAGAAAAGGTAGCATGGATAAAGAAGGGCATGACATGATGATAAAGGGGTCAATTTTTCAAGAAGATGTAACAACTCTTAATCTGTATGTTCCTAACAACAGAGCATCAAAATATGTGGGGTGAGAACTGAGAGAACTGCAAGGAGAAACAGATGAATCCACTATCAAGTTGGTGACTTCAACAATCCTTTATGAGAAATGGACAGAACCAGCAGGCAGAAAATCACTGAAGACGTAGCTGAACTCAACACCACCATCAATCAACTGGATATGACTGACAATCTATAGACTACTTTATCCAACCACAGCAGAATACACATTCTTCCAAAGCTCACCTGCAACATTCAGCAAGATAGACCACAATTTGGACCATGAAACATACCTTAACAAACTTAAAAGAACAGAAGTCATACAACTCTCAGACCACAGTGGAATTAAAACTAGAAATCAATAACAGATAGTTCTAAAATCCCAAAATACTCAGAGATTAAACGACGCACTTCTAAATAACACAGGGGATCAAAGAAGAAATCTCAAGAGAAATTTAAAAATATTTTAAATTAAATGAAAATGAACTTACGCACATTTGTGGGATGCAGCTAAAGCAGGGCTTAGAGGAAGATTTATAGCATTGAATGCATATATGAGAAAAGAAGACAGATCAAAAATCAATAATCTAAGTTTCCACCTTACGAAACTAAAAAAAAAAAAAAGAATAGCAAATTAAATCCAAAGTAGGAGAAAAGAAAGAATAAAATTAGAGTAGAAATCAATAAGACTGGAAATAGAAAACGACATTTGAGCAAAGACTTGCAGCTAGTGAAGGAGCTGCCACACAAGACATCTCAGACGAGGGTGAGCCTGGTGTGCATGAGGAGCCTGCACCTGGCTTGGGTAAGAGCAAGCAAAGCTGAGAGCAGCACGGAAGGACGCTGCTTTATTAACCAAAAGCAGCAGTAGGGACAGGGAAAGCGCAGGCTGTGTACCAAAAGGTCTCCTTTAGTTTTCTTTCTATGATATACTGAGCCCACATCAGGACCAAAAGCTATGCTTCCAAGTGCCTTTCCTACTCTAACGTGACACAGGGGAATGCTCCCATCCCCACTGTTGACAGAAGCTTTGGATGCCGCGAGGAGATATCTGTAATGAGCTCATCTGACATTCAGGGCACCGAATGTGAGCTGTCCCATGCTGGCCGTTCCTCACGTAGGAGTCTGGGTGGGAGCCACGAGTCAGGCCAGAAAGGACTCTGTCCTCTGAGCAAGGGTCAAGAACTGAGCGGCCATCACCTGGCAGACAGACAGCTTACATTGTCATCTCTGGGTAGGATGGAAGTTTGCCGTGTGCTAGGGATAACACTCTTCACTGGTCCACCTAGGCTGAATTGACAAAATGAAGGCCAGGCACCATCGAAGGCAGATAATGCGGGATTTGAATGCAGAAACACCAAAAACGTAAGAGTGACTGCGGTGCATTAAGCCTAGGGAACCACCTTGTCCAGGCTTCCCAGCCTCTCATTTGTCCCAGCAGCAGGGAGAATACCATCACCACAGGTTCTCCTTACGACAAGGGTTACCAGAACAGCAATAAATTCAAGTACATTTATTAACCTGGAAAGACGTCCATGATTATATAAAGTGAAGAGAAGGTAACACAACCACATTAAATGTACACGTTGATTCTTAGATACATTTGAACTTCATAAATATTAACTATGAAAAAATGTATTTACGAGGCTTTAGGAAATAGCATATACCTAACAAAAAGAGTTAAAGAATGCATACAAAAATTATAACAAAGCCATCTGGTTAGTGGGATTACAGGTGATTTTTGTTTGTTTCCTATTTATTATCTTTTTTCCCTCTAATACTATGCATTGCTCAAATAACGGAATTATAAGTAAAAACCCCTTCATGTATACAGCACTTCTAGCTCCTTCCCTACTCCCACAAGACAGTGAATTGACACCTGTAACCTCGATAAGCTCGAACAGAGCTGTTTGCAGTCTCCTCTTACAGACGGGAAAGTCCAAAGCTCAAAGGAATTATGTCACTTTCCCCAAGTCACACATCATGGTGTGTAGCCCAGACAAGACTTGAGTCTGGGGGTCCTGAAGGTCCCTTCCAAACCACACACTTGCTTTGTGCCATCTTCTTAGCCCACAGACGCCAGGGAAGTGAGGTCTGAGCAGAGCTAGCCCCCCGCCCTTACCTCGGCCAGCCGGGAGTGCTTGTGGACATTCTCGCCTTTTTGCACACTGGGAGCCAGCTGCTGCAGGACGCCCCTGCTGCTCGTCAGAGCTCTGGTCAGCCGAGCAAACTTCCCCCAGCCTGGAGCATGCAGAGGAGAGAAAAGACAGTTTTCACCCTGTCCTGAACGTCATGGACATTCACACCACCAGTTACTCTGTCGGAAGCCACACACACCCATTGTCCTCCTGGGCTCCCGTGAGTCACTCCGCATTCCTCCCAACCCAGACTTGCTGCTCAGAAAAGCGTCTAGACACACTCAAATTTGTGTAGCAATTTACTTTTCCCTGCACTTTCACTTTGTCCTAATCATAGCTTTGTGACATATGTAGGGCAGGTTTCAGTACTGTTTTACAAATGGGGAAATTGAGGCACAGGGTGCCTAGACAGTTACAAAGAGTCCAGAACTTTCCACTCTGGCCCAAAGCTTTCCGGCCAGATAATACCAGGTAGTCGAGATATTTCTCCGACTTTGGGACTGGGCTCGGGCTGCTCCCAACCCCCACACAGTCTGATCTAATAGAGACTGAGCTGGTTCCAGGGGTGGCAAGGACAAGCTAGTTAAATGGCCATCCCATGCATTACAATCTCCAAAGCCAGGGGAATAAGAAATGAATCTAACCCCTGGGTAGATGGGGGGAAAGCATGGGCATATTTTAGTCTGCTCTGGGACAGGGGAAGGACCATTGGTGACAGGTTCCCCAAATAACAAGAATCCCAAAGAGCCCTAGTACTGAACTTGGATTTTTTTAAGGTCTGTTTCAGAGTTAGGCTCTCTTTCAGCTCAAAACAAAGCTGGAATTGAATTCTACAGAGCTTTTCAAGAACAGAAGGTATATTTTCAATCAGGTAAAACACAGCTGTGCATGCAAACGTCAGCAAGGGCTCTGCAACCCACCCCCACCCAACCCACCCCTCCACCACCATCACTATACCACCACCACAACCCATACTCTGAGACAAATGATAAGAAGGAGGTGGCAGGACAGATGACCCTGCGTGGCAGGGAGCTCAGGGTCCTGGTCCCATAAGCTGATCTAGCACAAGGGGTGAAAAGAAAGATCCTTCGACCTATGGGCATTTCCCCAGGCTCAGGCTAGCCTCCCGCTCTCTGGGCTAGCCCTGAAACCTTTCCAAGAATCTGGCTCTCAAAGGAGCTGGCTTTCCACTACCTGAGCGGAAGGCATGGGAAGATGAATGGGTGTTGGACGGGGAAGTGGACACACAGTGTAAAATTCTCCATCACACCTCTACCAGGACAGCACATAATGTGCAACCTAGCAGTCGGCTAAAAAGTACTCACTGGATCCTTTCTCCATTCTCAGTAAGGACAACCACGTCCCCCTTCCTTGACCATCACAACGGCTGCTGGCTTCAACAGGGGCAAGCCCCCCACTAGGTTGCTTTAGCCCACACAGCCCTGTATCCTCCCTCAGCCAGAAAAGAGGATGCTGGGATGAGATGAAACTCCAGTTGCTCCAAGGATAAGTAAGTCCGGGAATAGGAGAAAAGACAGACCTAGAGGCCCCTCCCCTTGGAAAGCATTGCCAAGTCGTTTTGAGTAGAAGCTACAGAGGATGGCTATCAGGGGTCTTGACCTCAGCGGGAAGGCTGTGAGGCCAGGCTGGCCCTAACCTGCAGAGTCACAGACTCTCTGAGAGGAGCTGGTGCCATACCCCAACGTAAAAAAGAAAATAAAGGACACTGGGGACCAAGATGGACAGTCAGTGTGGACACTGCCTAAGCATCCTCAGGTCCTGCTCCCCTGATCTTTTCCCTGTCAGTGTAGAAATAACCAAAACTCTAGGTGGCTTCTTCAAGGAGCAGCCACTAAATCATCCCCTTTCCGTCATCCTAAGGGCAGATAGCTAAAATGTTAGTATGGAGGGGCCGAGGGGACCTGTGGCTTCTATCCACTGCCCAGATTCTTTCCTAAGAGTACCTTGCAAATATCGCACAGGAAGACACATGGAGAAGGGTCTGCAGTTGCAACAGCTTGCCAGAGTCCTCATCCCTGCACATTCTCAATCTTTGGCCTTTAAAAATCTCCTCTGGAGTGTTACATTCCTTTTGTGATCTGAATCTGGCTCAAGTTTACTATGTAGAAGTAAATACATGGGTCTTTAAAAATGAATTCACTCCTTTAGTGTGAGATTATTTGGTGGGGTAAGAGACAAAACAAGAGGGATGACTCATCCTCATCCTTTAGGGAACAATGTAGAGAGAAAATTCTGAGCCTTGCCATCTAATTCCTCTCTACCCATGTGCCAAAGCCTCCTAGCTCAAAGGGGAGAATAGGACAGAGAAAAATATCCTGCAGCCATTACCAATTATCCATAATAACAGAGAAGAAAGTGAAATAAGTCAATCAGAGAAAGACAATTATCATATGATCTCACTCATATGTGGAAGTTAAGAAACAAAACAGAGGATCACAGGGGAAGAGAGGAAAAAATAAAACAAGACAAAATCAGAGAGGGACACAAACCATAAGAGACTCTTAATCATAGGAAACAAACTGAGGGTTGCTAGAGGGGCGGGGGTGGGGGGATAGGGTAACTGGAAGATGGACATTAAGGAAGGCGCGTGATGTAATGAGCACTGGGTGTTATATAAGACTGATGAATCACTGACCTCTACCTCTGAAACTAGTAATACATTATATGTTAATTAACTGAATTTAAATTTTTAAAAAAAGTAAGACACACACACACACACACACACACACCACCACCACCACCCCACCCCACCCCCCCCCTCAGAGCTGCTACCAATCAGCAAATCTAGCTTGACTTACATTTCCCAGCCCTCACCATCTGTGGACACCTTTTGTCAGAGAGCAAGGGAAGCAGTCAAAAGATGGACAGAAAAGAGAAGATGAGGAGGTCAGGGGCCTGGATCATTCATAACAAGGAGCTTGGGAACTGACAGACCAAATGAAAAAGGGGCCTCAGGGCAGCCCAATCACCTGCCGAAGGGGAGTTACTTTGTGTCCGATGCTGAAATAGTCCACAGCTGACTATCCCACGTGTTTACCCCTTTGTGGGTTGTCTGTGGGAAAATGTGCTGCACCAGCTGGCTTCTCCTGTCACTACTGGATGCACTTAGCCCAGGCCCAAGCCCCAGAGGGAGGCACTGCGTGATCAAGGAACACAATGTCATTTTAAAGACAATTTGAGCACAACTGACTAAAACAAAGGACGAATCTGATGGTGGGAAACATCTCGTGCTGCTATGCCAAAGAGCGATTATCCGGGCATTTCTGGGGTTTTGCTTAATCCACCCTCCCCTTCCCACTCAAAAGTGAATTCTAAACAAGCCTGGGTCACCAAGGCTCTTACGACTCCTACTGCTGACTGAGGTATGGTACTGAAAACCCAGCTGGAACCTGCCAGAAGCTCCCAATGTGAGAGCACATCCAAAAAGAAATGTCAAGTCAGGAAAACAATCCAGCCACATGGCAACGTATCTTCCTACATTGGACCCTTGTTTATAGACTTACAACTAGCAAGGCCTGGACTACTATCATGCTCTTCCATCACAAACGGACTAATATAAAATTTGACCTTGTCCTGAGAGGGAGACAAACCGTAAGAGACTCTTAATCTCAGGAAACAAACTGAGGGTTGCTGGAGTGGAGGGGGGTGGGAGGGATGGATGGCTGGGTGACGGACGCTGGAGAGGGTATGTGCTATGGGGAGTGCTGTGAATTGTGTAAGACTGATGAATCACAGACCTGTACCCCTGAAACAAAGAATACATTATATGTTAATAAAAAAATAAAAAATCAATTTGACTTTGTCCTAAATAGAGTAGCAACTCAAAGGAGGCCAGGGGCATAGTGACATAAGAAGAGGGAGGGTCCAAACATATCTGTTGTGGCATTGGAAATGGACAGGCTTATGACGTCATGTCATGGAGAAGGCATTAAGGATGATCACTAGCAGCATTCCTACAGGGAACACTGAAGTGTGCATGTGTGCATGTGAGTGTGCGTGCGTGTCTACACACCAAAACTCTCATCAGCAACGAAATGCATCACCGAGTCAGGTTAATTGAAGTAGAGCATTTTCTTTCCTGGAAAATAAGCCGAGGCAAATCTCACGGCATCACTTTGATTGATCTCCTCTTTCGCATTTCATGAGAGCCAAATGCAGAGAGCTAGGTGGCATGTGAGGAGCGCTCTCTGTTGAGTATGCCTTTCCTACTAAACAATACTTGCATGTCACCCAAAAATGTTCCAGCAGTGGTGAGAGGCAAACAGTCTGACTCAACCAACATTCTGACTCTTTACATTTTGAAGACAAAACTTACAAATGTCAAAATATGTGACTGCCTTTAATATTTTATGAGTTTATTCAGTTAAAAACGCAAATGGCCTTTCTAGAGGGTAGCAGGATGACACTTAATCATGAGTGAGTTTATCACCGTGGAATCACTATTTGCCCTCAGAAATCCTCAAGTCAGAAACCAGAAATCAGGGAATCACGAACCTGCAGGAAAAAGAGGAGACTGCAGGAGTCTGAGGCGCTGGTTGAGAAACTTTACATCTGCTGCTGTCTTGAAACCAAAAGGCGGGCTGTACTTGATTTACTGGGTTATCAGATAGTTAAAAAAATATATATATATGATGCACTGGTATACACAGCGTTGTGCTCTGAACTTTATAAATGTGAGCCTCCAAATGTGCTAGAGGACACAGCCCAGGAGAGCATCCACAGAATGCTTTATATTTCCTCCTATAAGGCACATGTAACAATCACAATTTTGTCACATCAAGAATTATACTCCCCAATTTGACTTCTCCCTGGACTCCACTCACATCTCTCTGCTGCATCTCAGGAAATGGCAAGGAGCAGAGTTCTCAGAGAGAGAGATGGAAAAATCAACCACAGAGCCAAGAAGCACTGCAACTAAGAAGAGCTATGGCCTCTTGGTTACCTTGCATGCACGCTACGGAAGAGGGCGCGTGACACCCCCGAACCCCAAACCTCTGGGGATAACATGCCATCTTTTGTGCATCTGATTAGCTTGACCTCTTCAAGAGGACTGTTGTTCTAGAAATCCTGAGCCCTCTCCTTCCTTGGCCCCCAGTGTTATTCAAAGAATACATGCACATGATATAGCTGAAGTGAGCACCATAATCCGTGGTCACAAGCTGATTAAATGACCCATATGGATATGTTACTTAAGACCCTGGCCTCATTAATACCGCGTTTCCAACAAATTCACAAGCCACAGACTTAATCAACCACAGAGGTAGAGATGTGTTAAAATCTACTTTAACAATCTCGAAATGCAAGAACTCAGTCAAATCCAACAAAGTTTACATACAAATAAGATGCAGGTGGTCAGGGACTGCCTCATTTGGGTGACTGACATCTGTCATGGGGACACTGGAAAAGATTCTGCTGATACCAGAGGGGCCAACTCCCTTCTTCTAGTCTAATCATTACTGGAAAGGGTTACTCTAAAAAGGTATAAAATGGATTCAAATGCTTTCCTAAATAAAGCTTTTTTTCCCTCCCCTTCTCCCCCTTAATACATTCCAGAATGATACAATGCTTTACCCAACACAAATTAAAGTTTAAATCTTGATCTTTGTGCAGAGATTGCCTTGGCAACCTCAAATTCTCTGGAATGGGAGTCACACCACAGGATAAAGAAAACCGCATAAATGTATTAGTACAAATCAGAATTACAAACCTTTACATGAATCATCCTCAATCGGCTGTTTGAAAGCTGTTATATCACTGAAAGTGCAAAGAAATAAAACCACTTTATCCTGTTCATTTCGAATTGGAGCAATTTTCACAAAGAACCACACAGGTGTCCCTGCAAGAAATATCAAAAGGTTGGTCAGCAATTTGCATTCTCATGTGAGGGGTGCTGGAATAAAAACTTGGGAATGAACAGGTACAAATATTAATTCATTTTTAAATGGTTTCATTCCTTTAGGTGCTGGGATATCATACCATGAATTCCTCTTCTTGCTGGGATAAAAAACTTTCACAGTGACTATTTGGCAGGGATTTTCTTCGGTTCAAATATTTTGTAAGTGTATATCTCTTAACCCTTGCAAAATGACTGGAAAATGGGTTGAAAATCCCTCCTAATCTTATGGAAGTTACTAAGGTACAGAAACCTAAATACTCACTCTAGTGACCATGCAGTAGACAAGTAAAGAGTAGGGACGAGGATGGGCATTGCCAACCATGGCCAGCAAACCACTGCAAACTCAAAATTTCCATTGCTAAAGGGCCCCAGTGTCAAAACCCAGTTTGGGCATCCATCAATTTGACTCACATGCTCAATCAACCATGGGCCAGAAACTGTATTTCTAAGTCTCTCTCCCCAAATTAAAAACCCAAAAGGTCCAAAGCAATGGGGCAGATGACAACGTGCTGAAAAAGGAAGAGACCCATCACAATCATTCTCCCAGCAAAGCCTCCCTCAAAAAAGAAGGTTTCCAGGGGGCTTTGGGCTGTGTTTACATTAGTGCTTTAGGAAGCTCAACCCCTGTGTTTCAACTTCCGATCCTTATTCCTGAGCGAAAACAGGGAATACATGAGCTCTTCCAAAGCACTGCTCTAATTCACACAACAAGAAGGTGGGCAGGACTCATCTGACTAACTTTTCCAAGAGGGCACCCACTCAGGTATCTATGGCTAAGTATCTATACAAAGTCAGTGTCTGGCTTCCAAAAAAGAATGAGGGAAAACAAGTGTTTTCTACCTATAGAAGACATCCTAACAAGCCACACCAATCAACTCTGTGATGCAAAATTAAATGAGACACAAAGACATGGTAAGTTCTTCTCCATCTAGTTCTCACATCCCAGGTCCTTAAACAGCACCTGGGATATAAGGACTTAACTATTTGCTGAATTTTGCAGAACTGGGATAATACTTTACATGCTATTTTATTTTATTTTATTTTTAAAGACTTTATTTATTTATTTGACAGTGAGAGAGAGAGAGAGAAAGAGCGCACAAGCAGGGGGAGTGGGAGAGGGAGAAGCAGGCTCCCTGATGAGCAGGGAGCCCGATGTGGGGCTCGATCCCAGGACCCCGGGACCATGACCTGAGCCAAAGGCAGACGCTTAACTGACTGAGCCACCCAGGTGCCCCTTACATGCTGTTTTATAACCATTTTCAAGTTAAAATACAGTAAGTAGTTCTCCATGTTAAGAATTAGAGAAGCTTCCTGGGGCGCCTGGGTGGCTCAGTCGGTTAAGCGTCTGCCTTCGGCTCAGGTCATGATCCCAGAGCCCTGGGATCAAGCCCCGAGTCAGGATCCCTGCTCAGCAGGGAGCCTGCTTCTCCCTCTTTCTCTGCCACTCCCCGTTTGTGTGCGCTCTCTCTCTCTTTCTGTGCGTCAAATAAATAAATAAAATCTTAAAAAAAAAAAAAAGAATTAGAGAAGCCACCTATATACCAGGTACTGTGTTCAGCATTTTACATGTATTATTTTATCTCAAGATAGCAAGCAAACAACTCATTGAATCTTGGGAGATGTAAATAAATCCCCAAGGGGTACCTCTAGGTCTCTCTGCAGGGAATCACAGCAAACTCCATACTATACTACAACATGGACAGACAGACATCTGTGATTGACCTTAGGATTAACCAATCCAACTTAACAATAACCAGCTTACATATCTGGCTATACCACTCATTCATATAGAAGCATAAATAACCATAAAATATACAGTCAAGCAGGCAGCAAATAGATCAGACGGGAATATATTCTGCTTAAATCTTCATTATCTATACATTCATCCATAGCTAACTTTAATCCTCTGCCGATTTTCCTGTTCCGTAATTTTCAGCTGCCAGTTTCTGGGTGCTCTTAGAAGACAAACAGGTTATAATGTTACCTGAAGAAAAACATGTTTTGAAAGAAAAATCCACCATACAAAAATCACACATAGCATTCTAAAATCAAGAAGAATATGGCCTTTGAATCACCTACTGTTTTTGAAAGGTCTGTGTTACTACCCCTCCCAGGTCGCTGCTCAGAACCTGTGGGATTTAAAACCATTTTCAATTAAGCAACAGAAAACTCAAAATAAAGCATCACACCAATTGAGCCTACGTACCCACAGTCTTCCCTTATATCCTAGCTGGTGAGACAAAAAGCAAACAAATCAAAAAAACATTTTCTTTCTGCTCTCAAAAAAAAAAAATTACTTAAGCAATTTTTTTTCAGATGGTAAACCAGAAAACACTGCTAATTTATCAAACCAGTAAGGAATGAGAGGAGATGCCCCCCACTCATGAGGGCTAGTCCCAAGAGCCCCTGGAACCGTAACCTTCCCAGCTGCCACCTACGGGCCATCCACTGCGCTCTATCAGCTGGGGCCCATGCCTGTGAAATTTTCGAGTTGGGACTGTGTCATCTAATCTTGATATTCCATTTATGACTCCTGGGATTGATGATGTACCCCACACCTCCCAGATCACGAGAGCCTACTGGTGGGAGGCCTTTTTCATTTTACTACAGTTCAAGCTCATCTTGAATTCTGCCCCCACCCCCCCATTTCTACAGGTCAATCTGTTTAAAGCTGTGTGCTTCTCTCCACCAAACTGAGCCCAGTGCTTCCTCTAGAAACATTCCCTGATTAAACACATGCTATTCCGGTAATTTCTTTTCAGGAAATACATATGAATCTGATACCAAAAATTCATATAGTCAGGATGCATGGCCTTAGAGCATGTCTCCAGCTCATCAGTTGGGCTTATTGAGGGAGGGAACCTCATACTCCCTGATCTGGTGTTTCCGGGTGGAGAAACAGATCTCAAAGGAACTCTCGGGTCTTTTCCCTGGGTTGGTCATTCAGGGGTTAAGAACTGGACATGTGTAGCTCAACCACTTCTCTTCATCTGCTTTCTTAGAGATGAATCCGCACACCCACACCCTGCTCTGCTTCACCATTCTATAGGTGTTAGGGGAGAAGACAAAAGGGCAGGGGAATGACCAATAGGAGGAGAAGCCTGCGGTTCTCCAGGGCTACCTGTGCTGGGTGGAGAAGTCTGTCTGATTCTAGGATTCACTTTTAGAAACTTACTTGCACTTTTAGAAAGTTACTTGACCACATACATAAAGTACATTCTCTAGGATCAGCTTTGCTGGTCAAGAAGGGGAAATTTTAACCTCCATTTGCCTGAAGACTGAATCTCTCTCAATTGCTTCTGATCACAGGCAAGGAAAGAAAGTGCTAAGTGATGTTTCCCTTCCAACCGTAACAGGGGCGGGCTCTTTCCTTAAATAGACCACAATTCACTCTGGGGCAAGAGATCTGAGGTTTCTCTGTCTCATCACCCTGCAGCCCTGTGTAGTGCAATGTTATACATAGGGTCACATGAGGCTATTACATCGCTCAACTCCAGGAGGCGCCATCCTGGAATTGGGAAACTCAACGCCCTTGGTGGGGCAGCTACTCTAGGGATACCTGCTGAGTTCCAAAGAAGTAAATCCTACTTCCAGTGTCTTCAGAGTCACTCAGACCTGTCTCTCTCCCAAATTAGCATTCCTTACACACTCTAGGAAAGCAAGCAGAATGGGCTTAAATTTTCATTTCTGCAATTCTTTCAAAGGAGAACATGAATCCCACCTAGGTGGCACAGACTAGTAATTTCAACCTTTTACTCTCAAGAGCAAAGCAATTTTAACTAGTGAAACATTACTCAAAGTCTCAATATATGAAACATGTCCTTCAAGTGAACGCAGGCTGCCCAGCGCCTGGAGCCCCACTCACTCAGCTTCTCTTCCACCCCTCTCGATGCCCCCAGGGATAGTCAGGAGCCCTTTGGCTCCATTTAGATATAGACCTGCCCAGAGGCAGAGGTCAGGGCAGGTGGCCTCCAGGGATCTCCCCGAGAGAGCCCAGATTCTGGACTACAATTCATTCCAACAAGATAACAAGAGGCATTGCAAGCACAAATATTCACACCTACAGACACAAAATCAGGAAGACGGGGTTGAAATTCTGCCTCTGCACCCAAGTGCCTACAGTGGGCAAATTGAGAAAAGCAAGTATTTGATGTCCTGTTTCTGCAAAAAGGACAAAGGGTGAATGATAAATAAAGGAAGATCAATGCACAAATCCAGGAAAAACATAGCAAAGGCTTATGGCAAAGGCAGGTGCTGCTGGGAGAGCCCGTCTTTCCTGGCTGAGGGTGCCAGTGGAGGGGCAGCTCCGGGTCAGGCCCCTCCTCCTGCTCACTCTGTGATCTGTGATTCTCATCCCTTACTAGCTACCTCGGGTCATGTAGTAATGAACCTGACAACTTGACATGGCCATCGGGTTTCTCAACCCCAGCAGTCAGATAACAAAAAAGCAAGGCTCGGCTATACAAGAGATTTTTTTGGCCTCCGTTAGGCTTCTTCCTACCCTGGTACTCTCCGTACCCAGGCAGCCAGGTATCCAAGCCATATTCAACAGCAATGGAATTGAACTCCAATCACTGGCTCATGGGAATGGCTGCAACGTGTTGGGCCGTTCAGATGACAGGTCCAGAAACTAGACTAGGGAATGGCAGCCTCCCCTAGGAAACTGACCGGTTGGTCTCAGGGCACCTTCACTGAGACAAATGACAAGTCCAGAGAGTCTGAGAGAACAACAGTGAGAAGCAGTGGCCATTGGCCATTAGAACATCTGACTGGGAACCCCAAGTCCCGGGTGTGAGCCCTATCTCTTAGCTTACCATAAGCCTTGGCCATGTCACCTCCATCTCTTAGAATCAGCTTCCTCATTTGCAAAATGGGGATAATAAACCTACTTTAGATTCAGTAAAAATATATAGATGTCTGATACATTCCTCCCTTCCTTT